TTAGGCTTTTTTAGGATCAACATTTCTCCAGTGGGGGAGAAGCCCCTGGAAGCCTGGGCTGAACACAAGTCTACACAGAGGGCAGCAGTGGGCCAAGCCAAGGACCCTGGGGAGGGAAGCCAAGGACCCTGGGGAGAGTCGCAGTGGCTCCAGGGCTGCCTCAGGCCCTCCATCACGACACCCAGGCAGCCACTCATATTTCTCACTCTGGTTTTGAGCCGGTGAGCAGAAAGCTCTTCTAAAGTGGACCCGGGGTTTGGGGGATGTTCTAGGAGAAAGCGCAGGAGACAGGACAGGCTGAGTCCCGGTGTGGGAGGGAAGGGCTGCCCAGGGCGCTGGAGTCATGGAGCGAAAGCAAGGACGCCTCCTCTAAAGCACAAAGGGGGCTGCAGCGCAGGTGCTGCTTCTGTGTGACCCGGACAGCAGTGTCTTTGAAAATGACCTCTGTGTCCTGGCCCAGTTTTGCTGGTATTCTGGGGTCTTGGAGCCAAGGAAGATGCACTGTAGTTAGGAAAAAATGGCCCTCTGTCCCTCTTCTTTTTCCTTCCCCATAGCTTCCCAACAGGCACTGTTACTTTGTTATTTACTTTATTGTTACTTTTGGCTGCACTGAGCGCTCTTTTTTTGCATGGACTTTCTCTAGTTGTGGCGAGTGGTGGGCCGCCCTTTGTTGTGGTGTGCCAGCTTGTCATTGCAGTGGCTTCTCTTGTGGAGCACAGGCTCTAGGCACATGGACTTGAGTAGTTGTGGTGCGCAGGCTTAGTTGCCCTGCGGCACGTGGAAGCTTCCCAGACCAGGGATCGAACCCATGTCCCCTGCATTGGCAGGCGGATTCGTCCCCGGGCATGTGTTTCCAACACAAACCACAAACCTTTGCCTTCTGGGGTGAGAAGTAGGAAAGAAAGAGACCCTCCCCAGTGCAGCTGATCAGGGAGGACTGTTTCTTAAAAGGGGGCTATGATCATAATTCTATCTGCAGAATGGAAACCAACAAATGCCTGGTTAAAAAAAAAAAAAGACTTAGAATCTGAATTATATTAGAACTTTGTCTTTTCTGTAAGTTCTTATTTTTCCCATTTTCACCTTAGAGCACCCCAAACCAGCTAGCCACCCCAATTCAGCGTGGCCCCCTCTTCTACCCGGATGTCGCCCTTCCCCGAGGAGCTGTTGTGAGGGCTCTGGTGGCCCTAGGAGCCATGAAGCCTCCGTGGCTGTGTTGCAGTTTGTCACTTCCGGCTCAGTGCTGCCTGGGTGTCCTGCCGGAGGGCCTGAAGCAGCCCTGGAGCCACTGCGACTCTCCCCAGGGTCCTTGGCTTCCCTCCCCAGGGTCCTTGGCTTCCCTCCCCAGGGTCCTTGGCTTGGCCCACTGCTGCCCTCTGTGTAGACTTGTGTTCACCCCAGGCTTCCAGGGGCTTCTCCCCACTGGAGAAATGTTGATCCTAAAAAAGCCTAAGGTTTGATGAACTGCTCAGTATAAGTACTTTTCTTACCCAACAATTTCCAGATCAATCTCAACTCAGTTCTCTCAGTCTCAATTCTAAGCTGTGTTTTTTTTTTTTAGCACTTTGCATATTTAAAGAACTCATCATCTCTATGTCCACATTCTCCCTATGTTTTATTGTGGAATTTGGAAATATGTGGGTCTTCCAAGTGGCTCAGTGGTAAAGAATCCGCCTGCAATGTAGGAGACTCACGTTCAATCCCTGGGTTGAGAAGAGTCCCTGGAGAAGGAAATGACAACCCACTCCAGTATTCTTGCCTGGAAAATCCCGTGGACAGAGGAGCCAGGCAGGCTGCAGCCCACAGGATGGCAAAGATTTGGACATGACTGAGCAACTGAGCACGCAGACATGCACACATGGAAATATGGAGTATATGAGAATGATTCCCTCAGAAACCTAAAAACCAGATTAGGTTGCTGACATACAGAAATCCTGCTGCATATGAGGATCTCTGGTGTTTATAAAGACATTGTCCATGGCAGCCACTGGCTTTTTATACGTGATGTGATGCCCAGCATAGTTGCAAGCCTAGAATTACTTGCTCCAGATTGGAAACCCAGCCACACAATCTCTTAATGGACTATCTCTTAATCCCTTATGTGATCTAGGACAATTCACTCGTTTGCGGCGGACCTCCATTTTTCTCCACTGTAGCATAAAAACTTTTAGATGAAAAACCCATCAGGAAAGGAAACTGTGTCTGGTGCACTGGATGCACTCAGAATCTGCATTTGTTCTGAGCCCCAGTACCTGAGTTTTGAAGTCGTTTCTTGGGTTTTATATCTTATAACCCTGAGCTTGAGTGCAGCCTGTGCTCGTAGCTAGAGTTCCTTGTGGCCTCATCATCTCGAAGGGTGTCCTCTGGCTATCAGAATCTGGGGTTTGAGGAAAAATCTCAGCCAAATAGAACATGTGCAGCTCCCTGGGCTCAGGTCTCCAGCTTCTGTGGGAAAAGCAGTATTTCCATCCTTGTCATGACAAACATGTTGCAATGGTGAGGCTCCTGGGAGAGTGCTGTTTATATAAACTAGATTGGAATCACCATTTATTAAGTGAAGGTGTATGTATTAAAGTAACAGAGATTCATGATTTTTTTTTCATTTATTTTTATTAGTTGGAGGCTAATTACTTTACAGTATTGTAGTGGTTTTTGCCATATATTGACGTGAATCAGCCATGGATTTACATGTATTCCCCATCCCGATCCCCGCCATGAGACAAGTGCTCGGGGCTGGTGCACTGGGAAGACCCAGGGGGATCGGGTGGAGAGAATCATGTTTTAATAGGGAACCAGTGGCTGCAATTGCTACCCTGATATATAGTGAACAGCATTAAAAATTGGGGCAGCCCCTGGCAAACAAATTTGGTATGCACCCAAAATCATGATAGAAGAAAGGTTTAAACCTACTGTAGTTTGGTATTTCACTTCTGGAAATCTATCTGACTAAATGAACTCCAAATGGAGAAAGCTATATACTAGAAGATGTTCATGGCAGCCTTAATTATAACAACAAAAATTAGAAGTAGCCAAATGTCTGATAAGAAGAAAGTGGGAAAGTAGATGGTGGGACAGCCACTAAATGAAATATCTTATGTCCTTTAAAACGAATGGTTTACAAAGATCACACCCCACCATTGATGATGGTTCTAAGTGAAAAAACTACACCCAAATTATATGCATAGCAGAACTGCAATGTCATAAAACACATATCTGAAAAAGATTACCTGAAAATACAAAAAGAAATAGAGATTATGGGAAGAAGGAACGGTTATGAATGTTTTTTTTCTAACTCCTCAAATTTTAGCATATAGTTTTAATACTTTTATTATTTTCCTTTTAATATTCATTTATTTGGCTGAGACAGGTCTTAGTTGTGGCATGTGCAATCTTTTTAGTTGTAGCCTGTCGGATCTAGTTCCCTGACCAGGGATTGAATCCAGACCCCCTGCACTGGGAACTTGGTGTCCTAGCCACTAGACTGTCAGGGAAGTCCTGATACCTTTACTTTAAAAAGAAGAAGAAGAAGGGAATGTATGCGAGAGTACAAGTAGAGAGGAAGAGAGGAATGTTCCAGGTTGATTTTGGGGGCATTGAGGTAGCAGAGGGCTCGCTCTTTAGGACTTTGGAACAGCCCTCCGGGTGCACTACTGTCAGAGGGGCCAGGTTTCCCCCCAGTGATCTGCTGGTCATACAGCTCAACCTTGGCCTTCCCAGGTGGTGCGGTGGTAAAGAATCCGCCTGCCAATGCAGGAAACCCAAGAGATGTGGGTTCTGTCCCTGGGTTGGGAAGATCCCCTGGAGGAGGAAGTGGTAACCCACTCCAGTATTCTTGCCTGGGAAATCCCATGGACAGAGGAGCCTGGTGGGCTACAGTCCATGGGATTGCAAAGAGTTGGACGCGACTGAGTATGCCCAGCTCAGTCCCACTGCTTTTAGTGGTTAGCAGCACCAGAATAAGGCAGTGTCTTGGGGGCACTTGGATGTGGGGTATGGCCCTGCCCGCGGGGGTTCCCCACCTAACAGGACCAGGATCAGCTGAGAGCAGGGCTATGCTGAGGAGAGCACCGGAGAGGAAGCCTGTCTTGTCAGCCAGATGCCACAGGCTGGGGGCATCCAGTAACAGACGTTCACTTCCCACAGTTCCAGGGCTAGGAGTCCAAGGTCACAGTGCCAGCAGGTTGGTCCGGGAGAGACTCCTCCTCCTGACTGGCAGACGGCCGTCTTCTCGCTGTGTCCTCATGCGGTAGAGAGCGAGCATCGCTCTGTCTCTTCTCATAAGGGCACTAATCCTGTCATGAGGGCTCACCCTCATGACCTCACCTGAGCCTCTTAAAGGCTCTGCCTCCAAATACTAACTTCGGAAGTCAGGCCTTCAACTTAGGAATTTGAGGCACACAGACAGGCCATCCTTAGCTGGCATGAAGGCAGAGTGTGGGATGGAGGGGCGTGGGGGGGATCGAATCTTTGTAGCTGCTCTCAGGCCTGCCCTTGACTTTCTCGTTTTAGTCCAGGAAAGCAGGGTCTGACTGCTGGATTGGTTTTCACCCTTGCTGGCTGTCATCAGTCAGGAAGAAAGAGGTCTATGAGGTGGGGGCTTGGTTCTGGCTTTGGATCCTCACTGCAGGGCGCTTACGCTGACCATGTGCCTGTCCTTTTGTTGCCAAGGGGACAGTCACCCTCCTCAGAAAGATGTGGGAATCTCTCTTGAAGAGCCAGGTGGGGTATCCGCTCACCAAGCAGAGGCCTTAGTTGTCAGTCAGAGACAAGAGCCTCAGATGTTTGTAGCCTCCAGAATGAAGGGCCATGCTCTCAAAGCTTCTGCCGTGTTTCAGGGATGTGATGGCATTCCTGCAAATCACTGCTGAGGACAGACAGACAGTTCCAGCAGAAGGACAGCAGGCAGTCGGTTGCTCCTAGGGAGATGTTTGGGCTGGCACACCCGTTCTGTTGACTGAAAGTGTGGCTGTACTTCTCCTCTCCTCCCCCCACCCCACTAGAGTCAGATGGAGTTCAGCATCTCCTCCTTATCCATCCAAGAGCCGAGCTGCAGCATTGCTGGTGAGGCCAGGCCACCATCCAAAGCGCCTCAGGGATCGCAGGCCCTCCGGCCCCCGCAGGGCAGCAAGTCCTCCAGCCTGGATGCCCTGGGTCCTGCCTGGAAGGAAGAGGAGGCATCCTTCTGGAAGATCAACGCAGAGCGGTCCCGCGGGGAGGGCCCCGAGGCAGAGTTCCAGTCGCTGACCCCCAGCCAGATCAAGTCTATGGAGAAAGGGGAGAAGGTCCTGCCGGCCTGTTACCGGCAGGAGCCTGCGCCAAGGGCCAGGGAGGCGAAGGTGGAGAAGCCCAGCAACCTCCGCCAGGAGCAGCGGGCCGCTCCCAGCATCAGCGCGGAGTGTGAGAGGCCCCCGCCCGCCCAGGCCTGCGCCAGCCCCCCAAGCGAAGCCGGCCCCGCTGGGCCCATGGGAAAGCCCCCCTCTCCCGAAGCCATGGAGGCTACGGAGGACATGGAGGATGCTCTCTTCCTGGAACCCGTGCCTGTACAGGTGGGTGTCTCACTTCAGCCAGGGTCTCCCTCTTGCTGAAGGGACGAGGGCTGCCTCACAGGGGTGGGCGGGCGGGCGGGCCACAGATGCCCCTGCCTTCTTCCTCTGCCATCCCTCGGCGGCCTGCTGGGTTGTCACTCAGCTTGGCAACCAACAGACATGCAAGAAGCGTGTTCAGTGAGCTTGTCTGGCTGCCGTGACTTGTCTGCCGCTGTGTGATCGTGTCTCAGATGCCCCCCGCCCTTCCCTGCTTGTGTGAGGGCAGGTGACGAAGGATCGGGGGGCAGTGAGCAGAGGACTCGAGGGGGAAGCTGGCAGTGTGGGTGGGGTTTGAATGCCAGCTCCACGCAGGGGCCTGGGAGGCTGGGCTGCTCTGTGGGTGAGGAAGGGAGCTGCAGATGTCCTGAGGGCACATGGGGAAGCAGGCAGGACCCCCAAACCTCCACCAGGAGCAGCTGTGCTTGTTTGCAGTTCACAGGAGACTCGCTTCAGTAGTGATGGGCAGCTTCTCGTTTCCAAGCAAAACACAGAGTTAGGTGTCCCAAGTAGAGTCCTAAGGAAAGGACTCATTCCAGGAATGCAGGAGAAGGAAAAGAAAGATCTGAGAGGTTCACTGTCGAGGTGCAGTGAGTCGTGAAGAAAGGGCCCTGCAAGAGAACAGGCAGTGTGAGTGGCTTCTCCATGTTTCCCCAGTGTTATGAAGCACCGACTTTTGTCTTTGTTAGCTGGTCTTCATTACTTGAGAAAATTCAGCAAAGAAAGAGAATATTTGGTTAGTACTTTAAATGGAGTTAGTGTTGAAGGATCACCCAAATCCAAAACAAATATGTGTGTGTGTGCACGCGCACATGTGCGCAGGGTAAGTCACTTTAGTCGTGTCCGACTCTTTGCAACCCTGTGGATGGTAGCCTGCCAGGCTCCTCTGTCCATGGGATTCTCCAGGCAAGAATACTGGAGTGGGTTGCCATGCCCTCCTCCAGGGTATCTTCCCGACCCAGGGGATCTTCCCGACACAAGAACTGAACCCACATCTCCTGTGGCTCCTGCATTGCCAGTGAATTCTTTACTGCTGAGCCACCAGGGAAGCCCAAATAAACAGGTAGTGGTATTTCAGTGGGAGACCGTGGTTTTGAGACATTGTTTTATAATGAACAAAGAGATACTTGGGCAAGGCATATCTGAGAACCATTTCTGGGGGAAGATGGTAGCCTACTCGTGGAGCTGGGTGAGGCGATGAGCAAGGCTTCGTTCATGGAGATGGACGGCACTTCCCAGAGCTTTACTGCTTCCTGCCCTTCCGAGCTTTTCTGGATGGGCTGCAGTGCTTGCTGAGGTCCTAGGGAGGCATGGGGAGGACGGCCATGGGGTGATGGAGGCCCCCGGGTCCCCAGGAGCACCGCCTTGTGGTGCTGGCCCTGAGGCGGGCTTCCTGCCCAGCGGCTCCCTCTCGCAGACTCAGGCAGCCCACTGCTCTTGACAGTCTGCAGTGGGGTCTTCCTCTGAGGGAAGCATTTATATAAGATATGTGAGAGTCTTAATTGTAAAGAGATGCAGGAAAGTGTGTGTCTGCGGGGTGGGGTGGAGTGTGGGACCGAGCCCATGAAATCCTCTGACAGAACTGATTCTGACTGCAGAGCACAGAGTGAATGCTGCTGAACTGGGAGCACTGGCAGGAAACCAGAAAAAGGAACGTAGGCCTGAACCCCTTTGGCTGTTCAAGCTCTGGCTCAGTCTGAGGGGCAGCAAAAGCCTGAGACCTGCCTCAGGGGGAGCTGCTTAGCCCATTGCCTCTGTTGCCTCTGTGGCAGTGCCTTCCATTGGCAGCTTGTGGAGGGTGCAGGCTCAAGGCTCCCTTGCCCAGGAAGGCTGCAGCCACCAGGTGAACACGTTTGTGTTAGACCCAGCAGAAGGGTCTCTCAGGTGGCTGGCGGAAGCCTGTGGAAGTGTGTCTGGATCAGCTCACAAATGGCCCTTTAAACCAACCCCACGTCCTGTATGGGCAGTCTGACCTGAAGAATGGTCCTGGGTTAGGGAAAACCACTCCAGAACCCGCCACATCGTCTGAGAGAAAGAAGTTTTATATCCTTTCTTCTATTTTTCACTCCCTCAACTTGGTAATTTATTTTGTTTTGTCTGTCACTGTGTAAGTGTGTTTCATACTAGAAAGACTGTCTTCCTAACTTGTTCTCTTACTCCACCGGTGACTAAATTTAAACATGCCCCCTCATTAAGAAATAGAAAAGATACATTTTTCTCCTTTTCTCTCCAGGTGGGGTCTACAGGCTGCCCTCAGGCGTGCCTGGGGACAGAAAGGGATATGTGTTGGATCCTGGCAGTTTGGCTTGCACTGAGCTTTATTTAATTTTCTGGTTCCCAGCACTGAGGCAAATTGAGGTCAGGGAGCCTCTGAGAGGGAAGTAGCTATTTCATTTGGGTCATTTTAAATGAGATGCTGTTTTTAGATTGTGCTGACTTGGAAAAAGCCTCATGCCTTACTCTGTTTTTGTCCCTTCTTACAGGTCAGCTCAAGTAATGTCATCTTGAAGACAGGATTTGATTTTCTGGACAACTGGTAAAGTGGATTAGACAGAACAAACAAACCAAGAATCCCCAAGTGTTTTCCAAAGTGGTGTGGTGAAGGGGGAGATTAAACAAAAGGGCAGCATTCCCACTCTTTCCAGAATCATTTGGAAGCTGGTTAATGTTGCCTTGGCCAGCTCTCTAGATTTTTTCCCTTTTTGGTAAGACCAGATATCTGTGCTATTTTCAGCAATTTGATAACAGAAGTTTTACATTTGGAATTTTTTAAAACTCTTAGGAATTCAGTAAATCTTAAAAACAAAAGCTGTGCTCTAGCTCTACCCAGTTTTCCCCCTCCTTCGAGAAAGAGTTTTCTCAACCATGTCATAAAAATCACAGAGTGATTCCCACCTCGTCACTGTCCCCACTCTTTTAAAAATGCTCGGGGCTCCTTCTGACGGGTGGCTGTGGAGGCTGTCCTCAGCAGTCATGGCGCTGGGCGCCCGGTGTGACCACGGGGAGCCCTGCCTGCCCCACAGCCCCAGCCGTCCGGCTTGCCGTGTGGAAGCCACGCCTCTTCCTCTGCGGAAGCCCCACCTCTGTATCACGTGCCACCCTTCACTCCGCATCACTTCCAGGAAATGGATCGTGGGCACGTGGCAGAGCTTGTCTTTAAACTGCCTGCCATGCTACTTACTCAGACTTCATCTTTGTTTAACAAGTTGCATGTTTTAAAGTTTTGTATTAACTTTACATGATTTTGTATCTAGATTTAGCAGTTATAGGGCTACCGCTTTTCTTGGGTTTGTACCAGTTTCCCCTTGGAAGTTCTTTGCTACTTTCCTGACCTTTTAGGTGTTTCCTGTCCTGGGCATCTGCAGGAGTCAGGGCAGATGACAGGCATTGCTGGAAGACTAGGCTCTTCTGATTAGTTGCGTTGGAACCTTCTGGCGCGAAGCTGGCAGGGGCAGTGCATGTCCTTCATCCCAAGGACTGGTCAAGCTGTGTCACGATGGACCCTCCCTCAATCCTGACCACCGACAGAAGAGCAGTCGTTTCTGCATGGCCCCAGCGGCGCCCCCTGGAGACCTTCATGGTCATGGCAACAGCATCTCCTGGAGGTGGACTTGGCTGCCTGCTGTGGTCTCTGCTGCTGGGGGAGTGGGGAGCGGGGCGGGTTAGCAGCTCTGAGCCTACCCAGAAGGGCAAGGTGTCCTTCACCCAAGATGGGATGGCCTAGGGTCAGAGGAGGGCTCTGCCCAGTGACTCCAAGTGCTGTGAGCCTGTGTTCCATGCCCTGGCGTGGTCTCCATGTTGCCTCTCACTGTGTTCTCACCTGACGCCTTAATCCCTGCGAATCCTGCCAGTGAGCACCTGATTTCAGTATCAAAGTGTGTCTTTTTAAAATGCCTTTCTGTTTCATATGACACTCTGAAATGATTTCTAGAATGTTTTATCTGGCTCCAAGGTAAAGCACATGGCAACTGGTTTTTTCCCCCAGAAAGTTTCTGCCAAAACTGTGGCCTAGCCAGCTTTTGGTTTGGCTTCTGCCAATTGCATTATGTCTCTAAACCTCATTTGGCTCCTTGGGGTCTTGAGTTTGACCTTCCTCCTCTGGTGACTGACTGTACTGTGGTGAATACAAGTTCTTTCTGCCCTGTTTAAGTAGAGTTGAAACATTCAAGGGAAAAAGGTTCCTAGCATTGTAATGAGGGGGAAAGAATCCTAGAAATCCCAGCTGCAATTGCACAGCTAGGAACCGGCCCCACAGGTCAGCCACTGAGCTTCGGAGCTGGGCTTGCCACCTGTCTCCACTTCCAGCTTTGAGCACAGTGGACTGTCTTAGAACCCATGCTTGAAAGCAGGGTCTGCTTAAGAAAAAAAGATGTCCACAAGTTGCATTTCTTAGTGTTGGCATATCAAGAAAGAAAGATCTGTGTCCTGGGACAGTTAGCCAAGGTGATATATCTGTTCTTTTGAGAGAGAACTCTAATTTCTTTTCCACTTTCTCATAAAACCCAATATTCCCATCAAGTTCTCCTGGTAGCTGAGGAGATTTAGGGATTATTGAAAGGTTCTGCCTCTTTTATCATCATCTGGGGTCCAGTACCCAGTGGAATTCAGGTCTCTGTAACAATGTCTAAAGTTTCATAAAGGTACAGCCTCCTGAGATTAAATGTAAAATCACTGCTTGGGAAATCCTAGAGGGAGTCCTGAAATTGTATTGCTTTGCTTTGAAAAGTAATAAAACTTGAAAGGGAGAGATGATGGCCTGGACACATGCTCATGGGTCACCATCTTGCCTGAACTGCAGAGTCTCCCCTTAACCCTGGGCAGTCCATGTTAAGATGATGCCTTTCACCATCCTCCTGGGAATCTATGTTTGGTGTGTCCAAGTAAGGGAAAATTGAACTCACGTTTGCCATTTTTTTTTTTTTTGCCACATATCAAGATGGCATTTCTAAAACCAGACATTTATATTATTTTAAATATTCACACTTTTCATTTGAAACCTAATGTGGTTTTGCACCTTTCCTTCTTCATCCTGGCCACTCTCTTGTCTGCCCCTGAGTTTCAGCTCAAGGATTCAGTGTCTTGCTTTGGGTGACTGTAACAGCAAAATCTCCACCAGGAAGTTAGAAACCAGTCTCAGTTCTTTCACTTGGGATCCCTCCCCACTTCTACCCTCTGGGTTTTAGGGGTGTCACCTGCTTTGGGAACAGTGGGGCATGGCACCCAGCCCCATTGCACCCCTGTGGGTGTCAGAACAGCTTCTTCTTTGATACACATTTTCAAAAATGAAAAGTTCTTACTGACTACTTGTACCTTGGTATTGTATTTTGTATTAACAGCCTTTAATAAAGCCATTTAAAGTTTGTTCGATGTGTCTCTTTGGGACCTCTGCTGGAGTTAGAAAGCCTGCTAGGATGATTGCTGTTGAACCCAGAGGGGAATAAAAGGATTCATACTAGTTAAAACCGCTTGAAACCTTGCTTCAGCAGGCCCACTTTGCACAGTCCTGCCTTGGCCCTGTGCAGGTTAGTGGGAAGCAGTAGCCAAGGTACACAGGCCCCCAGCAGAAGAGGTGGGCTGTACCCCAGAGAGCTCTCATACAGCCCTCCTGTGACATGGAACCCAGGGCATGTCTTTCCAAGACAAGCCGATGGCATCAAGTGAGTGACTCAGAAGGGCAGATGCCATCTCCCCAAAAGCTTTCACCTTGAATGTGATTGAATCTGATTTTTCTTGAAGGAAATACAAACATGGCTCGTGAGTTCTATTTTGTTCATTTAAGGTGCAGGTGTTAGGTTACCAGTTGTAGACTGAGAGAATGTTCGGATGTCAGTTTTTAAAACGAATACCCTCTTAGTACCATTTTTCTAGATACCATATATGTGTGTTAATGTATGATATTTGTTTTTCTCTTGACTGACTCTGTATAACAGGCTCTAAGTTCATTCACCTCCTATTTGCAGGGCAGGAGTAGAGAAGCAGACATAGAGAACGGATTTGTGGACACTGTGGGCTAAGGAGAGGGTGGAACGAATTGACTGAGTAGTGTTGAAACATATATTACCATATGTAAAGTAGATAGCTAGTGGGAAGTTGCTGTGGAGCATGGGGATCTCAACCCGGTCCTCTGACAACCTAGATGGGTGGGATGGGGTGTGGGGTGGGAGGGAGCTTCAAGAGGGAGGGGACATATGTATACTTATGGCTGATTCACATTCCTGTATGGCAGAAACCAACACAACGTTGTAAAACAATTATTCTTCAATTAAAAATTAAAAAAAAAACTAATACCCCCTCAAGAAAATGGGGGTTCCAGGTGTCAGACTTCTAAGTTATCATGCAAGGTGGGGCCTTGCTGACCACAGATTTTTGGGTGAGCAAATGATTGTACTTGCTGACTCTTTGGTATTACAGTGATTTGATGAAGTGTGTGGACCAGCAAGTGTATGTATATGTATGAGACAAGGCAAAGTAGGTCTCCCCTAGGTTTGGCAACCTTTATGGTAGCTCAGTATGTGGAAGCAACATAGCTACCAAAGGAAATAAAAGTGTCTCTATGCAAGAGGGAGCCATCAGCATAGACACAAAATATATCTGGGTGTATTCAACACTTAGCAGCCTGGAGGAAAGATGTTGAATCTGGGGGACAAGAATGCTCTCGGTTGTGGGGTGGGGGTATTCACAGGGGCTTGTCTAGAAATTTTCATTGGTCTGATCATATGCTTATATGTAATCTAATGAACTTACAGGTGCCTTGATCCCAAAGGTGGGGGGGGGCACCATAGGAGGGAATCAGTGATTCTGAATCCCACCAAAACTCAGGTAGAAAGCAAGTGAGCAATTCTGAATATAAAATTAAAAATTAACAGCAGCAATACCAACTAGAAACACAAATAAAAGGAAATCAACTCATAACGAGAATTGAAAATACAAGGTACCCAGGAATCAACTTTAACAAGTATATAAAGACTTTTTTTTTTTTTTACAAAGAAAACTATAAAAGGAAGATAGAAGGTGTAGAAGAAGAGCTGAATAATCCTAGGTGGGATAACAATATTATAAAACTTCATTTTCTTCAAATCATTTTAAAAAGTTAGTGTAACCTCAACAAAAATTGCAGTTGGGCATTTGGGGAAATTGGATAGATTTACACTACATTGTAGGTGAAAATAGTTCACTGAAAAATGAGAGAAGCCTTGTCTGTCAGTTATGAAACATGTTTATGGGTCTTGGTGCAGGAATACATTATTAGATCAGTGCAGAGCTTGGGGACAAATGCACCCATTAAAGGAGAATTAATTTGCAATCAAAGTGACACCAGAAATTGGTAGGGGAAAGGAGGATTCACTATGGGAGATATCAACATGGATTCTTACAGAATTCTACATAGAAGGTGGACTCCATAAAGATTAAAAACCAATTTATCAAAGATAATGTGTAAAGCTGATGGAGTGAAATGTCTTGTGACCTAGGGCAAGAGCAAAGAAGAACTTCTTTAGTAAAAGTTCAAAAGCACAAACCATAAAGCAAAATGCTGATGAAT